CACACACACACACACACGGCTACTAAAAATGGAGACGGGGAAATACACACCAAATATAAGCTACATACAAATCAGTGCTGTTATTGTTAACTAATAATAAAACTATTAAAAATAAAAAATAAAAGTTAAAATAAAGCTTAAACAAAGCTTAAATGAAGCATAAATAAAGCTTAAATTTTTTAATTTTTTTAATATCATCTTTGCAACTGATATAAAGTAGGTTTAAGTTGAAGTACTAAAATTACTAAAACTAAATAAATATTTAAAACTAAATAAATATAAAGTTATAAAAAGAAATATATATTAGTGTTGTGTATATATAAATACACAATCACACATTTATATATATATTTAAGAAAAATATGTTATGCTTATATATTAAATATATTTATATAAATTATATGAAAATAAATATATACATGTAAATATTTTCAAAATATATACTATATGTGTGTGTCTTTATATATGCGTACATAATAAATATACACAGTACACACACATATATTATATAAACAAAAACTTTTATTTTGGATGCGATTAATCATTGCCCAGCACTAATGCATATAAATATATATAAAACATAAAAATGCTAAAACTTAAACTAAAATAAAAATTGAAAATATAAAAATAAAAACTACATCAAAACATTAACAAAGCAAAATTTTTTTATAATATAATAAAATAAAAATATTAGAAAATAAAATTCAAATGAAAACTGAAAATATAAAATTAAAATCGACATCAAAATATTAATAAATATGAAAGGTATATTAATACTAAAATAAAAGGAACCTGTCCGTATGAATCTATATACACTATATTCCAGTTATACAATAGGTTTGTGTGTAAAACAGACTGATATTTAAATCTCCCTAACCTCTTTATCATATATTTCAATTTGTTTCTTTGAAGATGCATTATGTAGATTTGATTATTAAACTGATCATTGCCAATCGGAGCAGCTCTACTAAACGCTTTCTGTCATCCTTGGAAAAATGAACAGCATACGGGTTAAGAAAAGAATCATTTCTAGATGGGAAGTGAGAAGAGTCGACTTGGGAATGTGTTCCTGTAATGACTGGAAACACGTCTTTTAGAAGTGGCTTTGAAATCGTTTTCCTGAGAAGAATTCATTGCGATCCTCTGAGGCTCGATTTGTGGGAATGATCAAAGTTGTTATTACCAAAGTCTCAGTTATCAGACAGCAGAATTCCATCCTTCAGCCAGTTCCATTCGCTCCGATTCATCCACTTTCAGAAAGCTACTGGGAAAAACCAAAGCATCTGAGGACATTCGAGAAGTTTGGCTGTGAGTTTGATAATGCCACAGTGTTTTAGTGATCTGAGACCAAAAAAAATAAAAACTACAGCAGTGGCCGTTACACCAAAAGTTTCCAAATATATAGTATTAAAAAAAACACACACACACACACACACGCACATATATATATAAGAATAAAAGCTTAAACTAAAATTAGAAATGTAACTGAAAAAATATAACCTACAGCTAAAACTGAAATGAAAATAAAATTAAATAGTTATATTTAAAAATTCTAATAATAAAAAGGACATCAAAATATTAAAATAAATAAATTAAAATATAATAAAAAATATATGTGACCCAGGAGCACAAAAGCAGTCATAAGTAGCACAGGTATATTTGTAGCAAAAGCCAACAATATATTGTATGGGTCAAAATTATAGATTTCTCTTTTATGCCAAAAAAGTAAAAATCATGTTCCATGAAGATATTTTGTAAATTTCCTACCATAAATATTTTAAAACTTAATTTTTGATTAGTAATATGCATTGCTAAGAACTTAATTTGGACAACTTTAAAGATGATTTTCTCAATATTTAGATTTTTTTGCACCCTCAGATTCCAGATTTTCAAATAGTTGTATCTCGGCCAAATATTGTCATATATCAATGGAAAGCTTATTTATTCAGCTTTCAGATGATGCATAAATCTCAATTTCGAAAGATTGACCCTTATGACCGGTTTTGTGGTCCAGGGTCACATTTAAATAAATGCACATCCTCAATTCTGCACACTGCAGATCTCGTCCGAACACGCCGGCACACTAACAAACACGGACACATCGGGCCCATGCGAGCAGCTGCTTCTGATTTTCATGGTATGAAAAGAGAAGTAGCAAAGAAGGAGAGTGAAAGAGAACTCTTGAATGACTTAATAAGGGTTTCCGCTGGCCGTAATCCCGCTGCAGGAAACATGCAGTCCGGCCCGGTGAAGGCCTTTCATCACTCCATCATCAGTTCCTCCGACGTTTCTAAGAAAATTCGTTTGCGGAAATCAAAACGGTCACCAATGAGTCACTAGTTGTCATGCAGAGCTGTAAAATGATTTTTTAAATGACTTTTAAATGCAGACTTTGGTGATTCAGGCTGTTACCAGCACTAACATCATTTTAGTTTAAAAACTGTTTGTTTCATTTAATGTCCTTATTTCCATGAATAAAATCAAACAGCGCTAGATTTGGTTGCACTTTGAATGAGGGATTTTCACACAAGCCTGCTTCCTGTCAAACACGTCTCACTTCCTCTTTTCTGCGTTCTGCTTCCTCCTCATTACGCATTTGCAAGGTGCTCGTCTTTCTGTCGTTCTCTCTCACACACACACACCTTTCTCCCATCTGCACCCATGAAGGGGAAGAGAAACCGAGAGGATCTGAGTATTTCGGAGCGGGGAGGTCTGTGTTTACAGATTGGGAAATGTTTTAAACAACGCATGAAAAGCAGAAGTGCCGCTGAGGCCAAACTTAGAGCTGTAATCAGTCGATTTCTCAGAAGACGGCTCTGAATATATACACTACTGTTCTAAAGACTGAAAGAAATTATTGCTTTTATTCATCATGGATGCATTAAATGGATCAAAAGTGACAGTAAAGACATTTATAATGTTAAAAAAATATTTATTTTTCAAATAAATGCTGTTCTTTTGAACTTTCTATTTATCTGTGAATCCTGAAAAATAAATTGTATCACGGTTTCCACAAAAATATTGGGTGTGTTCAACATTAATAATAATCAGAAATGTTTCTTGAGCAGCAAATCAGCATATTAGAATGATTTCTGAAGATCATGTGACACTGAAGACTGGAGTAATGATGCTGAAAATTCAGCTGCGCATCACAGAAATAAATTACATTTTAACATATATTCACATGGAAAACAGCTATTTAAAATCACAATAATATGTACTATTTTTCCTGTGTTTTTCATAAAATAAAATGCAGCCTTAGTGAGCAGAAAATACTTCTTTCAAAAACACTGCACTCCATCTAGCTGTTTTCAATGCAAAATACTCATTCTGTGTGAATGCCGCTTATTCATATCTGAAAGCATAATCAAATTACCCAAAATATTTAATAAATTAATATGCTTCACACAAGGCATCACACTTCTGAATGGCATAAATCTGCAGGAATAATGCGTATGCTGTAATGCTCAAGTGTTCAGACTGTGGGAAATATCACTGCACTGCTTTAATCGAAGCAAACGTGTAATTCAAACATTCTTCTGTACAAATGTTTAAGTCTGGCTTCTCTGTAGTATGAAACAAAAGAAACGATGAAAGAGCAAAGACACATTTGTGGCCCCCATGAGGCTTTTGCTGATTGTAAACTTTCCCTTCTACTGCATGTATGTGTGTGTGTGTGTGTGCGTGTGGTGGCACGCTCTGGCATGCTTGTCTAAGCTCCAATCAAAGGAGGCCTTGTTCATTGTATTTGTTATGTCTGAACACCAGATGATGTGTGATGTGTCCCCACTTCCCCCAGTCACCCGCCAGGAACAAGCAGAACCAAAAACAACGTGCCACACACACACACACACACATACTTGTATTTGTGGTTTACGGGGACTCTCCATAGGCCTAATGGTTGTTATACTGTACAAAAATAATATGATTTTTACTACTGACTCTAATGAGGTCAGTGATGCCTAGAATTATCTATAGACAGATTATGAGGGGTGGACTACGAAACGAAATAGAATAGAATAGCTGGGTTTCCCAAACGGGTTTGTGAGGGAACTATAGAAAGTTTTCTATTTTCTATTCGTTTTCTTTTTCTATTTTTGATTTATGTTCATTTCTAATTTATATTTTCACTTATATAAAATGTTCTTAGATTTTAGTAAATAGATTAAATAAAATAAATAAATTAAATAAAATAAATTAAAAAGAAATAAAACTTACCCAGGAAATAAAAAAAAAGTTTGGGAATCCCTGGAATAGAAATAAATGGAACTGAAGAACACAATCAAACAGAAAATAAAGCACTGTATCTTTAATAATGATTCTAATGAGTCTTTAGTAAAATCCTCTACAATAGAATAGAATAGTCTTCCCTCAGTAGAAGAGTAGAACACAGAATAGAATAGGACAGAAAAAGCAAAAAAAAAAGAAAAAAGAATGGAATTGAATAGAACTAACAAACAGGTCTGCCCACAGGAGAAGAGTAGAATATAGAACAGAATAAGACAAAACAGAAGGGCATAGAATGGAATTGAATGTAACTGAATAGATTTGACAAACATGTCTGTCCTCATTAGAAGAGTAGAACAGAACAGAATAGAAGAAAGACAGAACAGTAGAACAGAATGGAATTGAATAGAACTAACAAACGGCTCTGCCCACAGCAGAAGAGTATAATATAGAATAGAACAGGACAGAACTACAAAACAGAATACAATTAACAATCAGCTCTGCCCTCAGCAGAAAAGTAGAATATAGAATAGGACAAACCAGAAGGGACTAGAATAGAATTGAGTAGAACTGAACAATATTGGCAATCAGGTCTTCCCTCAAGAGTATAATATAGAATAGAACAAGACAAAACCGAAGGGAATAGAATGGAAGTGAATAGAACGGAATAGAATTAACAAACAAGTCTGCCCTCAGTGGAAGAGTAGAATATAGAATAGAATAGGACAGAAGGGAATTGAATAGAACTAACAAACAGCTCTACCCTCGAGTTGCTTTGTGTTGTAGATGTGCGTGAGGTACAGAGTTTTTGCCGTCTAACTCACCGGAAATCTGGCTGTGGGCGGGGCTGCTGAAGGGGGGC